GATAGTGACAGAGTGAACAAATATGCTAAAAATATACTTTTTAGAAAAGTTACATACTGCACCTTTAAGATAATAACAACTGTCTCTCTTAACAAAAATTGCCTGAATGTTGGAAGGTAATACGTTTCGGTGAGTCTTGTACACAAACAGTAAAATATTATTGTCAACCAAATCATAGAATTTCAAAATTTTCAGTTTACAWAATAAAGTATTTTATCTTCCTGCTCCTGTTCACAATGATTCCTAAGAGCTTTCTTTTTAAAGGGTGACTGGATTTCTTTTCTTGTTTGGTACAGAAAATWACAATCATTACTTTTATGGTTTACCAGGCACTGGATAATGAAGTCCACACCAACATTGTGTCTACAGTACAACACTAAATCAACCTTTGGAAGAACATGGTGGATTTGGGAGGGTCACAGAGACTTGTGTGAAAAACTAGACTGTTCACATCAAGATGCTGTTCACTTCTCTGCACGAGGACTTTGTCCTTAAATCTGATTGGCTGGATGCCTTCCTCCTGCAGGCTGCACACACCCATCCTTCGCTCTCATCTCTCAGTCCAGAGCAACACACACCACCTAACATCATGAAGAAATTCATCACAGCTGCTTCTGCCGTCTATTCCCATCTCACTATATAATCACAGATTGCTTGTTTCTCTTTTGTTCAGACAAAGAACAACGTTTTTGCTAAATTTGTTGATGATACAATAGGTGATGCAGAGGTGACGTGAAAAAAAGCCATCACATATTTCCTGATCTCTTGCCAGAGGCCCAGCAGTATTAGGTTACTGAAACCTCCTCTTTGCCTGTTTATCCTTAWCCATCCAGAGGGCAAASGGAGGCGGGTCGATGAAATCTATTTATAGGACACATACTGTATGGCCAATGATTTCATAGCTTACAGCTGCACACTCTGAGATACCATTTACTGTAATGGAATAAAGAGAAACAGCAAAGATCGTATGTTTGTTTCTATTTTAGGGCAGAGATGAATCTTCAGTAAGGTATCCCTTTATAATTCTAATACCATTATAGTATTAGAGGACTCATTAATAAGAATCAGAAGGCCAGACTGAAATTTGTAAACATGTACAGAGATGAGCCACAAAAGTTCTGGAAGACAATCTTAAGGACTGATGAGAATGAGATTAATCTCTACTAAAGTGATGGAAAACCAAAAAGTGGAGAAAAAACTGCTGATGATCTGAAGCACACAAGCTCATCTGTGAAGCATGGTGCAGGTGATGTCATGGCTGCTTCTGGAACAGCCTCAGTAATATTTATTGTTGTTGGAACTGATGATGGCAGCAGCAGAATGAATTCTGAAGTGGACAAACATTTTGTCTGCTAAATTACAGAGAAATATATCCAAATTAATCTGGAGGAATTTTATCCTGCAGCAGGACAATGAGCCAAATCACACTGCCAACAAAACAAAGGACTTCATCAGGGTTTAGATTGGCCAAGTCAATCATCTGAACCCAACAGAGTATTTCACCTCCTGAAGAGGAGACTGAAGGGAGAAACCTCCAAAACAAACAAGMTCTGAAAGAARCTGTGGTAAAAGCCTGGAGCAGCAACACAAATGAAGGATACAACAGTTTGGTGTTGATGGGTCGCAGGCTTCAGGCAGTCATTGCAGYAAGAGTTATACCAGCAAATATTAAATGTTCTTTACTTTAAGGTTATTTGTTCCTAAAATACTGTGGTGCRTTACAAACAGGGATATATCCTAAGTTGGTTATCACATCTACATGTAAATACCAGGAAATAAARGCTGACATTCTGAACTCGTCTCATCTTTTGATCTTAAACCCAGATGTCTTCAGTGAACAACAGAAACAAGAGAATTGGACTTGCTGTACCAACACCTTTGGAGGGGACTGTATCTGAACATAAACAGCTGGGTTAGCCGACAGAAGACAGTTCTTTCTACCCGTCATGATCAATATCATTGGGCCTCATGCAAGAACATGTTCATAATCTTATCCTAAATTTCTCTTACTTTTGTTCGTACAAAGGGTTCGTACGAACATGTCACGTCAGATTCATCAAACTCTATCTTCAGGAAAAGTGTGTAAATGAGCTGCGTAAATTCCACCTGTTCTATCCAGCTGCTCGTGCACGYGAGAGGAGATTAGCATAATTACCACCCCAAAAACACCATATAAGGTTATGTTTCCTGCCTCAGATACAAGGAAGTGTTCATTCATGAAAAATGGCAGCGATAATTAAAAAGAAAAACTTTACGAGTTCAGAGATTGAAGTTCGTCTGTCAGAGATCCAGAAAAGAAAATCTGTCATTTTTAGCAGGTCAGCTGTGGAATAAAAAAAGCTGCTAAAAGTATAAACAACTGTGTTAAATCATTTTCATTTATTCAGAAGACACGGCGCTGCGCACCATACCCCCCCCGATGCGGGTTTGAAATAAGCATTTTAAAATGTTTTCAAAATATGTCTGGCACTTTGGAGAAAATCCAGGACTCGCTGGAGGGATTATGTATCCCCTCTGGTCTGGGAACGTCTCGGAGACCCCCAGGACGAGCTGGAAGGTGTCGCTGGGGAGGGCGGGGTCTCTCTCCTGCTGGCTCCGCACCTGATCCCGGATAAGCCGGCCGGACGGACAATTTATATTGTTAGTCTAAATTATTACATTTAAAATTATAACTCTAATTCAAGCAGAATAGCCTATTGTCAACATAATTATGGAGTGTGATTTATTTTCAACTCAAAATATCTTCAAACTAACGAAATATAAAGTTATTAATAAAGAAAACCCGTCTGGATAACAGCAGACTGACTGCTCGTAAAATCTACGACAGGTCTGGACSACTCGTAAATTTTGTTCGTATCTGAAAAAAATCTTAGAATACGAAAACATTGGTGAATGCCACAAATTCTCCTAAATCACTCGTACGCACAACTTAAGAACAAATCTGTGCGTACGAACGGTTCTTGCATGAGGCCCAATGATCCTACAGCACTCAGAGTCTTCCACTCACCTCGTCTTTGGCATCTTCATCAATTTCAAACACATGAACCGGCAGCTTGTCCATCTTCTGGCCTTTGCTTTGAAAAAAAGAAAAGAATCAGAGTCAATTAAACCTTGCCTTTTCTCCTACTCTTCATCTTTGAGGAGGTCAGCAATGTCCCTTTAAAGTCATTTTCTATTAAAAAAAATCATGGTTTGACCAGAATCTAACAAATCACATCCTGGTTTTTGATATTTGTCTACATTTTTAATTTGAACTGAAATGTGAAAATTTATTTCACACAATGATAAATCTCACATTTATTTCCGGTAATTTTGATGTTTATGGCATACYAYTAATGAAAACACAAAATTCAGTTYGTCAGAAATTTAGAAAATAGCATTAAATTCATAGGTTGACAAGGCACAGGAACCACCACACACCAAACCATCCAGATGCCAGAGTCCAGTACCAACACATCAGTATATTACTTGGGCTGAGGACAAAAAAAATCTTTTGCTCAAAGTCCTTTTATAAGATGAAAAYAAATTTAGCATCTCATTTGTCAATCCAGTGTCTGGAGGAAAAGTGCAGTGGCACAGAATCCACAGCATTTTGCAATTTGTTGTAGGTCACCAAGCAACAGATCCACACAGCACATTAAATCTCCTGTAAATGTTCCATCTCTGGCAGGAAAAAGCTACAAGCAATGCTGTAATGTTGTTCTGCACACATTCTGAGCCTTGACCCAAATTTATTTCTAAATGATTATATTTATTTTTATCCATCTTAGTTTGACATTCCTTACCCTGGCAACATGCGGAAATCACCGGAGTAAGCCTCATATTTGTAGTTGATAACGTGCCAGTCGGTGTTGTACATCTTGATGCACTGAGGTAGACAGAGAGAGAACTGGATCAGCAGCAGATATACAGACAAATGAGAAGCARTGGGACACGCTGCACACAATTACAGTTATGAGCAATGAAGGAAACTTTAGCTTGGTAATCTTGTATAAACAATGTCACAAAAAACAGCAAAGATCTCCACCTCTTCRTGTCATTTTTTTGGTTGAAGTAGTAGACTTCACAAGTGCAAGTCAAGATTTACTTGATCTAAAAAAATAAGATCCGATGTGTAGCCATAGTCTGATGACATTTTCTATCCTAAACATTTATGAAGTTAAAGCATGGACAACTTATCTTATGTATTACATTACAGATGGGACAGATAAGCACAATCTATGGGACAAAAGGTTTGACATTTTTATGATACTTAAATGTCTTGCTGGAGCATAGACAAAGTTTTAACAAAGACGTCACATGTGACCTTAATGTTTGACTCTGTAACCTTAAAATCTGTATGAAGAATCCTTTACCCATGAGGTGGCAGCTGTCCAGCTTGACATTTCTACGGTAAATGGTTATCAAATTAAAACTCGGACAAGAAATGGTCAACAGACGGAAAGCCGGCCAACCAATATCACAACGCATGTAGTATTGTGCAAAAAACATTTGTTAGCAGGACAGAGTAAAACAGATTGTAATAAATGAATGAACAGATGAACAAATGTGTATATTCATATATACAGTACAGATAAAGTACATACAAACATAAAGTAGACAGACAGACCAAAATCATATCATATGCAATTAATCGTCAGAAAATCCGTCAACAATATTTTTCACTTTACAATTAATGCAATTAGTGCTAAGTGATGACGTATATTTGTGTGTGACTCACTTTCACAAGCATACATGTAAACCTGTGGCATGTTACGTCACTAAAGACAGGCTGCCACACAACATTGTGGAAAAGATGGGTTTCAATTCACAGCTTACTATTTAACCTGTTAAAATGAAGAAGTTCGTTTGATTGATGATTTGTAAGTATAATTTTAGAGTACAGGGTAACTGATTTAGATTTAAAAATATGCAAGTGCAATTGTCATCAACTGCACTTGCATATTTTTTCATTTCCTGACGTTGATATTACGACATCTGCAACCCAGCAATTAATTGTAAATCATTATTGGCTAAATGCCACAATTAACTGTGATTAACGTAATGTCACAATATCACATTAGAATTTTTAAGCTATCTAAATTTTCCCAATTTTCGCCAAGGAATGAACCTATTTGTAATTCCACAGTGTTTGGATTTCCTTCTTTGTGTCAACAAACTGGAGTTGATCTCCAGATTGTGATCTTATCAGCTTTTTACATTCCCTTGTCGTCTGTCTTCAACAGGAACTTGTTCCACAGGATTCAGAGTGCGACCAATTTGGTTGCAAACGCGACCTGATTTCCTGGCTAGAAAAATTTCTGATCACACGGGTGTGACCAGTCGTTCAAAGAGCTGTTGTTGATGAATGTCCATTTAGAACAACTTCTTGTTTTATTTCATATCCCCTTCATGAACTGGATTTGTACAAAGCACTAGATGTTGTTTTAAAAGGCACAGTGCAGTCACACACACTCACCTCTTTAGCAAACAGACTCCTGGCCTCCTGCTCGGCATTCTGAGGGACCATGGGAACGACTGTCCTCCTCTGCCGGGAGATCTGCGACTCCTGCATGAACGTAAACACAAAAACATCAGCAACCTGAGACTCACGAGAGCATGTAGACATTAAACTCTGAGATGTCTTCAACCTCTAAGGACTGAGATAATTACACATGAAGAGAGGGTGCCGATAAACCAAACTACATACATGTCAAGAAGATGGCCTCAGTTTAAATACAAGTACAAACAGACTTGTTTGTACCCTTTAGATTAATGTTAAAAACAGTAAAAATAAAGCAAAATAAAACAAAAGACAAAATGAAATAAAATAAAATATAAACTAAAACAGAACAGAACAGAACAGAATAGAATAAAACTGAACTGAACAGAATAGAATTAGGGATGCACAATATATCGGTATTAATATCGGTATCGGCCGATATTGGCAAGTTCTTAGAATCGGTCCGATACTGGGCCGATATTAATGTCCGTTATYGATTTCCCAGTTTTTATCTTTGTGTTTGTGTTTCTGGAGGGGAGATGGTTGGTTGAGCAGCATCTGTTTGATCAAGATAGTGATATTGATGCTGTGCAGCCAGGAATAACTGAAGTAGAGCCATGTCAGAGGTCTGGTTGTTTATTTATGGTATCAAAAAAAAAAAAGTGTGTTTGTGTGTATATGTATAATGTAATTTGTGTGTTTGTGTAATATCGGTAAATATCGGTTATCGGCCATAACAGCAATAATTATATCGGATATCGATATCTGCTGAAATTTTCATATCAGTGCATCCCTCAATAGACTAGAATAAAACAAAATAAAATACATGCCATTTGTTTTTTTTCTGTAGTTAGACATTTTGCCTCCCAACTGGGGAGTTTTCTGAACTCAGTACTGGACAGAGTGGAGCTCCAAGCTTTAAACTATGAGATCTGTTAATTAAGGTTGGGCATAATCGTATCGTGTGTGATTAATCGTCAGAAAAACATTAATCGATTAATTTTTGGCAGTTGACAATTAATACGATTAATGCCACCAGGTAGAGTCCGCTCGCTGCTCCTCTCAGCTTCAAATATGACCAACATTTAAAAAAAAGTTCTGTAACTTATTTATCTATCAACACAATTTAAAATTAGATGTATAGTCTGAAGTCTGTAATTTTGACACAATTTGGAACAGATTTTTATGAAGAGCAAATCYTTCCCACTAAATTGGTCATGTGACTATGAAACAAGGGTGTCCAGGGACTCTAGGGGATTAATCATCAAATTAATCGTTATCGGCTAAACACCACAATTAATCGTGATTTATTTTTTTGCCAATATTGCCCAACCCTACTACTGTTAATGCAGTTAAACTCCCCTCCAAACTGAGGGTTGTTAGGGTCTTTGTTTCAGTCACATGCATGAAGGTGTGAATTTAAATTAAACCACGTAGGTATCAGTAGGCCTGTCGCGATAGTCAATAAATCAATTAATCGCACGATAACTTTTTTTGAGGTCGGTAAAAAAAAGACG